GAGCGCTGCTGGCTGCGGGCAGAGGCGTCGGCGGTCAGGGATCGGGCAGTGCAGGGACCCACCGAGTCGGGAGCTTGAACCCCGCGGAGCTCAGCGCCTGGTCCGGAGACCTGGGGCCTAGCCTCGAACGGATGAATCCAGGGCCCTTGCTGGCCCCTCAGGGACCAAAATGGAGTGGTGTGGCTAGAAGGCCTTGGTGACAAAGAGTGCAGACACCTCGTGGGGCACCTGTGGGTCATCAGGCTCTCTCTAGGCCACGTCCTCCCTCTCAAGTCGGGCTCCCCCCAGGGGCAGGACCCTTGGAATTGGTATGGAAAGGTGAAGGGCAGGAGCGAGGACGGCACTGTTCAGGTTACTGGTCACAGGGCTACGGCAGATCTCCGCCCCCACGTTCGTTGGCCATATCACCCCACGTGCTCAGCACCTGGCAGTTTCAACCACCCCAAATTGGAATGGGCACCCTTCTAGGGTAATGAGTACTAAATGCAGCAGGATAGAGCGTTTGGCATTTTATCTTTCGCATAACTGGTGATCCCAAGTGATGGGGACGACAGGAGGGATTTTCTAGAGGTGATAGGTAAACTATTTGAGAAGGGCAAGTCACAGACCTCCCAGCTCCTGCCCCTGGCGCCCAGCACTAGTGCCCTCAGGGCGTCACCTGTGCCTGAAGCTGTCCTGGTCATCTTTGTTGTACTCCATGGCGGAGGGTCCCCGGCTTGTTCCGCTGCTGCCGCCCATGACACCTGCCCAGTAGTCGGGATTGCTCTCCAAGTCCCCAGACACAGGGAACTGCTTGCTCCGCATCTGATGGAAAGACTGGCGGAAATTGCTGTCCTCCTCATGCAGGGAGCTGAGTTCCGAGATGGTGTTGTTATCTGTGGGGACAAAACCATGACAGAGCTGGCTACATGTCACACAAGAGGCAAACTCCATCAAGGGCTGAGACCAGGGGCTCCAGGCAACTCCTGCCTCGGGACTTAAGTCCTCTCCAGGGTGGCTTGTAGACCTGCTCTGGGTGTGTTCTTAGCTAGCAGGCACTGGCTCCAGCTGGAAGTCTACTTGCCACAAGCTCAGTTTTTTGTTTTTTAATTGAGCTATAATTCTTGATTTATATTTTGTTTTATAACCCACCTTTTTTTTTTCTTTAAGAGGTTTTTGCTATAGGGTGCATGCGCTCACCAGACAGAGAGAGACAGAGAGACAGAAAGCAAGAAATCACCCCCCAGGGGGATGGCCACGCCGCAATCCCTTCTCCTCCATTCTCCTCTCCGGATCTTGGGCACACACGCACACGCGCCTGCCGTGAGTTTAAGCCACCGGGTCCAGGACTTGAACCACAGTCAACTACATGGGAGTCCAGCAACATAGCCCCACAAGCTCAGTTTCTGGAACAGGAGAACCACTTTTATTGTTTCACCTTAGGCAGGCTGCCCAGGGCTCAGGCTTTTGCAGGTGGCCTCCCCCTAGTTCCCTGTTCAAATACATGTTTTTCTTCTTCCTGTATCATTCTCCAGCGAGACACGATGACCCCAGGCACACTGGGCCAAGAGAGCTAGAACGAGCGAGGAACCAGGGATCACAGCATCTTTCCTGCTGTTGACCCAGTCTCCATATGGGACCTTCACAGCCAGTGCTGGTTGAGCACCTCTAATTCCCAAATCCAAAAGGTTCCAAAACCGCAAACCTTTTGAGCACCAACATGATACCACAATTGGAAAAAAATCTGACTTCACATGACAGATAGAGAAAGGCAGCATTGCAGAAATACTGTGTAAAATGAACCTTTAGGCTGTGTGTAGAAGGTATACAGGTGGAGCACGATCAATTCTGTAGATATTTGTTGAGACTTGGGTCCGGTCCCCCAAGATATCTCAGGTTAATGCAGATACACTGGGACTTCAAAAAATTCATGGGAAAATGAAATTTAAAAACAAGTTTATTGGGGTCAGCAGGTACTGTAGCTGTTAAGGTGCTGAACTCCCGTGTGGCTGACCACAGTTTGAGTCCTGGACCCAGCAGCTTGAAACTCAAGCCGGACACATGTGCGTACGTGCCTAAAATCCCTAGAGGAGAATGGAGAAGGGATTTCTCTCTCTCTCTCTCTGTCTCCCTGGCAAGGGCACACATCCTTAGCAAAAATCTCCAAAAAACAAACAAACAAAAAACACCACCTTTAGTTTGGTGCAAAATAATTTTGAAAATTCATTCTTAGTTTTTCTCCTTATATGCATTTTCTGTGAACTTTTAAAAGGCCCCTCCTATTCTTAAAAAATTTTTTTAGATAGTTTGTTTTGCCATAGGGCATATTTACTAGCCAGAGAGACAGAGGGGGAAAGTGAGAAATCACTCCCCAGAGGGGATGGTCATGCCGCAATCCCTTCTCCATTCTCCTCTAAGGATTTTAGGCACGGAGGGCCACACTGCACAACCTTCTCCATTTCCCTCTCAGGATTTTGGGCACACACAAATATGCACCCTGTGATTTTTTTTCAAGCCACTGGGTTTGGAACTTGAACTGCAAAGTTGGCCATGTAGTATCCAGCCGCCTTGATCACCACACCACCTGCTGGCCCAACCCCTCCTATTCTAAAATCTGAAAAACAAAAACAAATCCTCCAACATCTGAAGCACCCCTGGTCCCAAGCTTGATAGCTAAGCAACACTGAATCTGTGTGGGCTCCTGGTTTAGAGTACCCCATACTGGCCTCTTCTAGTTGTGCTCTCCCCACACAGGAGGGAGTCTACAGGGTCAAGGGGAGGCACACCGCTGTCCATGCCCCCCCCCCAAGGATGCACCTCCAGGAACTGGGAATATCCTGCCCAAGGGATGCCAAGTCCACTTCCAGGGCCTACTCTTTCCTCCCCAGAGAGTATGTCAGCTGTTATGTGGCCCTGGGTGGCTGTATAAGCCACTGGAAGGTGCAGCAAGGGGAGGCATGGGAGGAAAGAGGGGTCGCTGCATTTGGGGCTGTGGACCTCCACTTGCACGCTAGCCCCAGCCCAGAAATGCCAGATGGTGATGGTGGTGGTAGGGGGTGTCTAGAGGACCTTCCAGCTTAAGTAAGGTGGCTTAAGTAACTTTTTTTCATAGTACTTGTAAGCACGAACTAGAATCACTGTCAAGAAAGAAAGAAAGAAAGAAATCCAACTAGTTATTTATAGAACTTTGAAATGTATTGGATTTCATTGCACTTTAAAAAAAATAAATCTAGTGAACTAATCTGCAATGTAACTGAATCTGTTTTCTCAAATGCTTTGATGAGAGCTTCAAAATATTATCAGAAACAATATTTTCCAGGTTTAAAGTCTGGCTATTGAGCAAGAGGTAAGCCAGGGTAAGACACAGGAAGCAACAATGTGGTCTCAGGGTCCCTTTACTTTTCCTCCTCCCCATCCCAGCAGCCCAGGGTGGAGCAGGGGATCTTTGCACCAAGATAAGGGAGGACCTCCTGTAGCACAAACACAGCCCCTGTCCTGCAGGGCGCGGGGTTTACCATGAATGCTGTTCAGTTTAATCACATGATTGGTTGGTTTTGAATTGTAATCTAATTTTTAAATTTTTTCTTCCTTCTAAGGAGAAGGGACTATGCCCATTTTAAGGAAAACTACTTAGAACTATTGATGGAAACCAGCAGTTAGTGTAATGGCTATGTCGCTGGACTCCCACGTAGTCAACCGCGGTTCGTGTCCTGGACCCGGTGGCTTAAAACTCACGCCAGGCTCGTGTGCGTGCGTGCCCAAGATCCCGAGAGGAGAATGGAGGAGAAGGGATTGCGGCGTGGCCATCCCCCCTGGGGGGGGGTGATTTCTCGCTTTCTGTCTCTCTGTCTCTCGCTGTATGTCTGGCGAGCGCATGCGCACTATAGCAAAAACCTCTCCAAAAAAAAAGAACTATTGATTAATAAAATCTAGACGTGTCCCTTGTTTATGATCCCCATGAACTCCAATTCCCCATGAAGAAAAGAACTTGGGGATCTGCAGGATGATGTTACGGTAAGATACTGCATTTTAAGAAAAGAATCTTACATGCACCAAGTCAGACTATTGAAAAATAGCATTGCTGGCTCAGAACTTGCCTTAAGCTTCAGGGCTTACTTGACTTTTTCGTTTCTCTAGGTAGCAAGGGCCACATCTTTTTCCCTGTTCACAGGGATGCATCGTCTAGGTTGTGTATTACACTAAAATTCTTGCCAAGTTGAATCAACGTCCCCTGCTTTATAGACACCCTGTCTAGGACAGGGTGGGCAAACTGTTTTTGAAGAGCCAGAGAGTAAATACTTTAGGCTTTGTAAGCCATGGTGGCACAACTATTAGTATTGGAGTCTGCCACTGTGGGGTGAAAGTCACGTGATATGAAAGTGACTCTGCACAGCCGTGTTCCAAATAGCCTTATTTACAGGGCTGGCCGAGAGGCCTGTTGGCGGAAGCAGCAGGAGGCCAGCCTGGCCGATGGTGCAGTCTGAGTCAAGCCCCAAGAGCTTGAGGACCGCACCGTGTGTGTATGCGTTCCCTGCCAGGCAGGACGGTGAAATGGAAGAGAAGGGGTTGCGGTGTGACCATGCCCCACTGGGGGGTGCTTTCTCCCTCTTCCCCTCTGTCTCTCTCTGGTGTACACATGTGCCCTCTGGAAAATTAAAAAGAACTTCATAAAATTAGGAAATAGAACATATCTGGCCTGGAAGATAGAGTTTGCTGGCCTTTTCTCTAGGACTTCTAGGCTAAAAATGTCCTGAAAGCAACTTCTCATTTACAAGAGCAGAGCAGACCAGACCATATTGGCTAACAAACCCAGGAGCCTGCACTTCAAATACCAATCTATTTTATTTTTATTATTTTTTTCTTTTTTTGGAGAGGTTTGTGCTATAGGGCACATGCGCTCGCCAGACAGAGAGAGACAGAGAGACAGAAAGTGAGAAATCACCCCCCAGGAGTGATGGCCACGCCACAATCCCTTCTCCTCCATTCTCCTCTCGGGATCGTGGGCATGCATGCACACGCGCCTGCTGTGAGTTTAAGCCACCGGGTCCGGGACGTAAACCGCGGTCGAGTACGTGGGACTCCAGCGACATAGCCATTATGCTAACTGCTGGTCCCTCTATTTTATTTTTGGTAGATAGGGCCTCACCACGTTGCCATCCTCCTGCTTCAGCCTCCCCGGTGTGCACCGCCATGCCCAGTCTTTGTAGCAGGATCTTGCTGTTTCCCAGGCTGGCCTCCAGCTGTCCTCCCCTACCTCACCCTCCCATGGACCGGGAGCATGACGAGGGCACACAGTAGGGCCCACTCTTTCAGCTGGACTGGGAGTTGAATCCGGGCCTCCCCTGTGGCCTCAGCCTGATGAGCAGCAGTATTTTTATTTTTATGTTTTTACTTTTTTTGCCATAGGGTGCATGCACTCATGGGAGATGGAGACAGAGAGAGGGAAAGTGAGAAATCACCTCCCCAGAGGGGATGGTCTCACCACAGTCCCTTGTCCTCCATTTTGGCAGGCACACACAGGTACTCAGGGTGTTTTAGGCTGAGTATGGGACTTGAACCATGGAGTCAGCCATCTGGGATGCAGCACCCTAACCACCACACCACCAGCTAGCATCTTAGTGTGCCAACACAACTAGGCCCAAACTGTCACTTCTTACAGAATTTTTACTCCCTGCCCCAACCCGAAATCACAAGATCAATATTTAACTAATTAATTTTAATTGGCAGAGGGCACATGCAATTTTTAATTAATTAATTTTAATTGGCAGAGAGGGGAATAAAGCAAACCGCAGCTGAGCATGGTCAAACTTCCATCTCCTCTCTCTCTCTCCATCCTGTTGGGATCTGGGGCATGCCTGCACACACACGCCATGTGTTTTTTAAGCCACCAAGGCCAGGGTTCAGACCATTTGGACGTGTGGGAATCTGGCTCCCCAACTATTAGGCTATAGAGCTGGCTCCATGAGAACCATTTTATAAGATTTTCAAGGCTGTCCCACATCCACATCCACCCCAGGATTGGCTTTGCTCTTCAGGAATAGAGCCTGTCCAGGTGAAGTGAATTTGTTCCTTCTATCTGTGCAGTTACAGTAAGGCCAGCCTGCAGGTTCCCGAGTCTGCTTCCCGTTCTGGCATCGCTGAGCCCGGGGGCTGCCTGCCTTCCCTCTCTGCCTCTCTCCTCCTCTGTAAATGGAAGAGATGGGTTTGACAGCTCAGAGTCCCTAGCAGTCTAAAGCCCTCTGAGCCAGAAGGCTGGGGTCTCTGTACAAAACTGCGTCAGTTAGCGTAATGGCTATGTTGCTGGACTCCCATGTAGTTGACCGCGATTCACGTCCCGGACACGGTAGCTTAAACTCATGCCGGGCGCGTGTGTGTATGTGTGTGCCCAAGATCCTGAGAGGAGAATGGAGGAGAAGGGATTGCAGTGTGGCCATCCCCCCTGGGGGGTGATTTCTCGCTTATTGTCTCTCTGTCTCTCTCTGTCTATCTGGTGAGTGCACGCTCCCTATAGCAAAAACTTCTACAAAAACAAAAAACAACTGCGTCTGGCCCTAAGCCAGTTTGCTCCGGAGTTTCTTACATAGCACAGGACAGGGAAATCAGCACAGCCGGGTTCCAGCCCTGATCTTGCCACTGCCCTGCTCTGGCCTCTGCAGACTCTGACTCAGGCTCTCTCTGAGGCCCCCTTCGACTCTGACATGCCATTACCTGTGACCAGCTGGACCCTGTAGACCAACCAGTCATAACCAGAATCCATCCTCTAGTTTCAGCCTTGGGTGCTAACTTTTTCCCTGGGCTGCCACACTCACAGATTCCCTGCTCAGGCTCCTCCTGGGTCCCTGACTCCCTCTCTCTGCCCCTCTACAGGGATCCATGACAGCACTGTTACAAGGAGCTCGTCCAAGTGCGGTGACATCTGCATTCCTGACATTCCAATCTGGAGATGGTCTTTTTATAGTCAGGGCAGTGGGAGGATGTAGCAATGGATGCAAGCAGACAGGACAGATTTAGAATCGCGAACTGGGAGGAATATGTTGTCCTTAATCTGAACAAAGCGCCTCTAGTCTGGGACTGTTTCCCCAACAAGCCCATCAAGTCTCTCTCTGGTTCCAAGAAGAAGAAGGTTCAAAGGAAAGGGTGGTGACCTCACCGCCACGTGTGCCAGCACCCTCCGAGAAGGAGCCCGTCCACGTCAGACCCGCTGTGCTGCCTCCACGTAGCCGGTGATTTGGGATCCACCCCAAAGAAGGATCCATGTCAGCTGCGAGGTCCCTACGGACTGTGAGTGAGTCAGGGCCGGGCCCCGCCATCCACAGACACAGTAATTACAAAGTTCTTCTGATGAAAGGGGCAGAATTCTCGCTCCGCCTTCACCTGCTTTCCCCAGACTCATCCTTTCACGCTCCTGAAGCCGGCCTGCTGCCAGCAGCAGCTGGGTCATGCATGCTAGGACTCGTGTTGGAAAAAGCTCCAGCTCCAGCCTCTCAAGCCAGTGTTCTGAGGAGGTCTTGAAGAAGAGATATTTTAAAACTTTTTAAAAACGTTATTTATTTCCTCCGTGAGCGAGCGAGACAGCACCCCTAGCAGGGTGCTGAGGCCTGATGCACGCCCAGCCTTAGCCAGGCCTGGGTTGTAGGCGAGTGCATGCTCAGTGTACTCGGGAAGCTCTCTCGACACAGACCCAGAGCAGAGCATGGCGTTTTACTGCAGTGCCGCTGACCAGCCCTAGAAAATGGTTTTTGTTTGTTTGTTTCTTCGCTTATTTTTAGAGATAGAGCCTCAACTCTCTTCTTGCTCAGGCTGACCTCGAGTTCACGCCTCCCGCCTCTGCCTCCAGAGTAGCCAGGATTACAGATGCACACCACCGCGTCCAGCAGGAAAGGCTGGTTCAGTGAAACACCTCAGAGCGGGTGGTGTGGCAGTAATGCAGCTGGACCCGCACGGAGAAGTGCATCGGTCCACGTCTGGGACCTCCTCAGTGGGCTGGGGGCACCCATGCGTGTGTGACCATGGTCTGGGACAGCTGAGACTGGGAGTGGGGGGCAAGTGTGAAGACCCTGCTAGAGGTGGCTCCTTTTTTTCTGTTTCTCTCTCTTGGAAGAAATAAATACATTAACTTAACAAAGAATAAAAATATCTCAACCCCCAGGATTACACAGCCCGAGCAATGCTGACTGCCTTGTGGAAAGACAAGATAAACCAGGTGGCATGTGAGCGCTCCCTGCTCATGCCTAAAGCCCCGTTCCTCCCCTCTGTGTACGCAGAGCTTCTTTCTTTCTTTCTTTCTTTCTTTCTTTCTTTCTTTGGAGAGGTTTTTTGCTATAGGGTGCATGTGCTCGCCAGAAAGTATTATTTTTTTTTAAATTTTTTTTTTGAGAGGTTTTCGCTATAGGGCACGTGCGCTCGCCAGACAGACACAGAGAGACATAGAGACAGAAAGCGAGAAATCACCCCCCAGAGGGGATGACCACGCTGCAATCCCTTCTCCTCCATTCTCCTCTCGGGATCTTGGGCATGCACGCACACATGCCTGGCGTGAGTTTTAAGCCACCAGGTCCAGGACGCGAACCGCGGTCGACTACATGGGAGTCTAGTGACATAGCCATTACGCTAACTGC